CTATTTATAGTAGTGAGCTATATGTAATGATCTATTTATAGAATGAGATACCACTATTTATAGTTACAAAATTATTTAAGGCCACTGTATAGCGTTGTACATGTACTGTATATACACACACAATTGAATTCTTTTTATTTAGTACCCATTAGACGGAGTTTCAGTTGAGAATTGTTCTTCATTTCTGATTCTAGCAGGATCCTTGCTGCTTTGTGAATATCAGCAAAAGAGCTTATAGGATTGGGGAAAGTCATCGAGCGTTGCTTCACTTCAAAAGCACTAGTCTTCAGTTTCAATGTCACAGTCTTTCCCTGCAAGTACAAGATAGGTGTATGTTAATCTATTATTATAATAGTATTTCTCTTCTTGCCTTTATATTGCTCTCTTCAACTTCTTCTGTCAGTGAATAGCATAACTTGTGACACTTTTGAAAGAGTTCGGACGGCTTCCAAATATCAGGAAATGTTCTTAAAAATTTTTTAAACCAACAATAATCTTTAATTCACTTTACATGTAACTTACCTCTCTGTACTGATGCTCTTTCTCTCCCATTCACTATTAAAAAAAGAAATATCATTACAGACTTTAAAAATATAATTACCTGTGGACTGTACAGGACCCTATGCCAAGACAAATATTCATAAAATAGTCATAGGAACACTTGGAAAACATGAGTCTCAGAAGACCTCTTTTATCATAAATATCTGCACCTGTGACAATCCCCAGGGCATTCAGCATTTTCTCAGTCACTTTTCCAATCCCACTAACCTAGAATGAATCATTCAAAATTTAAATTCAAATAATCACTCAAAGTTTAAATATTCAAAATTTTAAAATGTCATACTTTTCTAATTGGTAGCTTCCTAATAAATTCCAGTATCTTTTCCCTTGATGGTGGGATCATGTACTGCCCATTCGGTTTGTTCATGTCTGATGCAATTTTAGCCAGCATCTTATTAGAAGCAATCCCAGCACTAGCTGTGAGCTGTGTAGTTAAATGTATTCTCTCTCTGATTTCGTTAACTACTCTCTCAGCACATTCCCAGTAACTATTGGGAAGGCATTGATCAGAATCACAAACCAGATCATCACTCTGATGCAAATCAGTATCATTGAGTGATTCACTACTACCATATTGCAATTTCATATCAGTAGAGTGTGATTCTGGATCGTCAATTTGAAGCAATTTTGTATCAGTTTCTTGAGATGATTCTGGATCAATTTGAATCAGTTTTGTATCAGTTTGATGAACTAAGCTATGCTTCAAAGACTCAGTATTCTCAACTGATGAATCACCAAAACTCTGAGTGACTCTATCCTCTCCTTCAACTGGCACTTGTTCCTCCTTTCCCCTCATTAATTCCGTCACATATTCCGTTATGTCCAAATACGCTTCGTCAAGACCAACGGAAGAGAAGAGTGGATCATAGTTGGAGAGTATTTCTCTCACAGTTTGACTCACCTCCTGGTACTTGCTAAAGTGAGACTTGACAATAACAAGCTGAGGACAAAGTTTCTTAGCTATGAAGCCTGGCATGGCTGCTCTTACTCCATACCTGCGAGCTAGGTAATTTGAAGTACTCTAAAAAAGAAATAAATAGATAAAAAAAGTGAGCCATTTTATAAATTAGGAATATATACATTCTCTATCTTACGTACTAGCATCGATTGGCCTCCAACAGCCATGGGTACGTTCAAAAGTGAGGGATCGTCTCTCATCTCCACAGCTGCATA